AGACGGATGGTTAGGCAGAGTGTACCATTCATACCTTAGAGGACATGTTGAGAGCTTGTGTGATCGACTTCAAGGGTAGTTGGGATGATCACCTTCCTCTTATTGAGTTCGCCTACAGAAATAGTTACCATTCTAGTATTCAGATGACCCCTTAGGTTTGAAGTAGGTAAAGCAGCCTTGATAGGTCCAGATTCAGTTTTTGATGCTATGGAGAAAGTGCAACTCATTAGAGATAGACTTAACACTGCTCAGAGTTGCCAGAAGTCTTATACAGATGTGAGATGAAGGGAACTAGAGTTCCAAGTTGATGATTGGGTTTTCCTGAAAGTGTCACCTATAAAGGGGGTGATGAGATTTGGCAAGAAAGGGAAGCTCAGTCCTAGATATGTAGGCCCTTACCGGATCTTGAAAAGGATTGGTAAAGTGGCATATGAGTTAGAGTTGCCAACAGACTTAGCAACAGTGCATCCAGTCTTTTACATTTCTCTTTTGAAGAAGTGTGTGGGTGATCCAGCATCCATAGTGCCATTAGAGAGTGTGGCCGTGAAAGATAGCCTTTCTTATGAGGATGTACCAGTTGAGATTCTCAATCGTTAGGTTGGAAGGTTGAGAAATAAAGAAGTCGCTTCAGTCAAGGTTTTGTGGAAGAGTCAGTCAGTAGAGGGAGCTACTTGGGAAGTAGAAGCAGCCAAGAAGTCCAAGTATCCTCACCTCTTTCCTTCTGATTCCATTCTAGCTTGAGGTAATAGTTCCTCATCAGTTTTTCAGTCATTCATGCATAAATTCAGTCTTAGAATTATGTTCCTCCAGTTTGTACTTGCATTTTCAGTGTATTTACATGTCATTGGAACTCAGTTCAGTCAGAAATTCAGTTCTCAGTGTTTAGTGGTAGGGATTGCAGCCCTCTCCCTCCATTTCAGCTAGTTTAGTCTTCATTCGAGGACGAATGGTCCCAAGGGGGAGATAATGTAACACCCCGTATTCAAAACAGACCAAAATACAGATTTCGAGAAGTTGCAGGTGCAACTTACGGTCACCATCCAAGGACCGTAAGTCAGACCACAGCCCGTGCTGGTGGTCCGTGGTTCACCACTGCAACCCCTCCCCAAACCAGCTCAGAAAATTGGCTAAGTCCCGACTCATGGACAGATCCACGGTCCGTAGATCAGACCATGGTCCGTGGTCTGTGTCCGTGGATCGAGACTTCCCTTACCCAGCCTCTGTTTGAGGTGAATTGGTTTGTCTTTAGGATACCTTGGCTTAATTTATTGTTGAAAATGCATGTTGTTGTTATTGCTACTTCCAAGCCTTGGATTGTGTTAAATTTTGGAACACAAGTTCGAGTGTAGTTTAGGACATCTTGATGGAGCCAATTCTAGAAATTCCAATGCGGGTCCCATAATTTCCATTTGATTCTAAAGTTGATCTTTTTCCATTTTATGTGCTTTAGTGACTAAACAACTGTAATTACGTTATGATCCTATTTTTGATAGCATGGAAGTTTTCACAGTCTGTTCGGAAAGGAAAAGCTCCAACCTTGTGATTTGGAGCGCACTGGGTCGATCTATATGTAGGTTACGACTTCCTTTGTTTGTTTGTTTGTTTGTTTATTTCAAATTGAGCATAAATGTGTAAATTAGTGATGATTAGTGTGAATTGGCTGTGGGTAGTTTGTTATTCCTACTTTTCTTCTGAGAAACCCTATTTTAGGATTTATCGATACTATTTCAAGGGTAGTACCATGCTTATGGGGTATGTTCAGGTTTTTATTTAAACGTACACACGAGTGTACCTTCAAGGGTTATGGGGTCCATTTAGGTTTAGTTTAGTTGTAATTGGATTAAATTTCAGTTTGCTCGTGTGCCCTCTTTCTTTTCATATCAGCTTTGACTTCTGTTTGTGTCTATATTTTATCTTTTCTGATTGTATTTACCTTTCTTGCTCAATCAACCTATGATGCCTACTGAGTACCTTTTGTGGTACTAATGCTACATTCTGCATCTTTTTCGTGATGCAGATCCTAGTACCAACTACCAGTGGTGATCTGATCTTAGGCATATTTATATGCCTAGAAAGCTAATTATGCCTGTATTTAAGCTTAGTTTGAATTCAATATGTGTTCGTTTATAGTTTTATTGAGTCTTTTGTCTGTTTATGAGCTAACCAACATGATTAGTTGTGTACGTAAGCTTAAGAGGAGAAACAAGCACGAAAATGGATAATGGGGAACACAGAAGATTAAAGGCAAAAAGAAGCATGGAAGAAAGAGGAAGAAAAGAAGATCAAGGCACTGTCGTATCCACTCCGCGTCGCGGAGAGGGGGTCTTAAATAAACTCACGAGAGTCAACAATAGGTAGAGTCCTCCGTGTACTCTCTGCGTCGCGAAGAAGGGTTGTTTTTTTATTCGCGAAAGTTGAGTTAGAGGCAGAGCACTCTGTGGAGTGTCCGTGTCGCAGAGAAGGCTATTGTGCCTGGAATCAAATATTTAAAACCTCTCCGCGTCGCGCCCTTTGCTCCAATTTTTGGCCGTTTCGACTTTTAGTATAAATAGGTCATTATTTTATTTTATTAATTATTCTTTTTCTGGGTTTTGAAGAACGACGACTTGGGAGAATATTTTCACCATTTTTAGGGTTCTTTCCTAAACTCTTTTCTTTCGATCTTTGTATGTTATTTGAACATTGTTTGATCGATTCTTGGATTATGAGTAGCTAAATACCCTAGTTCAAGGGCTGTGGCTACATGATGATTGTAATCTATTGATTTTTGTTATTGGGTTAATGTCAATTATCATATGAATCTTTCTTATGTTCTTGCTTTCCGTATTTTGTGACTGATCACCATTGAATAAAATTATTGTCCAAATTGAACTCGGGAGAGAAATAAGAGGATAGAACGTAGGGAATAAGGAGCATGATTAATTTTAAATAACTAGGGTTAATTTGTATCTAGGATAGGAATATACCTAGAAGCCATGCTTGGTCACTATATAGGAAGAAATCGTAATGCTCGGTACTTAATCCATCCTATCCCCACTCAACGATGTAGTTAGGGTGTTATTTATCGTAGGCGATTAGAGGTCGGGAGACCATGATAATACATTTAACCCTGTGATTCATTGATTCGATAATTGATAAATTCCCATATGAATGATATTGATATCATGAATCCTGATAAAAGCTATAGCCCTAGACTTTACCTAATCACTGTTCTTAAACCCTTGAAATTGAATCTCTTTTGTGACATGTTGTTATAATCTTAGAAGTAGAAACTATATCACTTTGGAAATCTTGAATACCCTTGTGTGTAGCTGAAAGTTAGAGAAGTTAAGTAATTCTAAGCGTAAGTCCCTGTGGGTACGATACCCAACTCTTAAAAAGAGCCACTTTAATACTTGAACGACCACGTGCACTTGCGTGTGCGATTTGGACGCAACAAGTTTTTGTTGCCGATGCCGGGGAATTTAGAATTAGAAATTTTGAAGTAAAAAGCAAGTGTTGACAACTTGATCTTACCATTTCATTGTTACAGGTTGTATTGGATTTCAAACTGTACAACGATCAAGGATTAGTATCGCCTCTAGCGGAACCGGAAAGATTCATACATTACCGGAGAAGGGTAAGATGACTTACTTATCCGGTGCCTCTTGTTGCTAGTGAACCAACATCTCCAGCAGCAAGAGTTAAGGAGGAAGAACTTGCTGCGTTGAGAGTACGAGACGTGGCAATCCCATGCCCCACCAATGTGACATATTGTATTCAGAAACTTGAAGCTGGTGGGAGGTTTGAATTGAAGCAGAGTATGGTGCAACTACTGCACGCTAATGGGCAGTTCACTGGTCTGCCGCACGAGGATCCAACAGTTCACATTCAGAATTTCCTCGAGATTAGTGATACGTACACTCCAGCTGGAGTGAATGTGGATTATGTGAGACTCACTTTATTCCCTTTTTCTCTGCTTGGGGAAGCAAAAAGATAGTTAAACTCAGAGCCCGCAAACTCAATTACCACTTGGAATGATCTAGCACAGAAGTTCCTCATCCGATTTTTTCCATCTGGAAAAACAGCTAAGTTGAGGAGTGACATTTTGAGCTTTAGGCAGAAAGTGGGAGAAAACTTGTACCAAGCTTAGGACAGGTTTAAATCGATGTTGATGAGCTACCCTCATCATTATCAATCTAATGAGGTGTTGGTCCATACCTTCATTGAAGGATTGGAGCCTAACACCAAGATTCTACTTGATTCAGCTGCAGGTGGTCAGGCTTTGAATAAGACATATGCTGAACTATTCAACTTGCTGAACAGAATCTCTCAGGGAAACCCGGAATGGAATGGAGGAGGAATGAAACCTGTGATTCAGAAAACTACAGGTATGTTAGAGGTAGATGCTGTGACTGCCTTGACTGTATAGATTGCTGCTATGCAGAATATGATGAAAACTCACTTCAACAATCTAGCATTGGGACAACAACCCGCACAGGTAAATACAGTTCAACAACCACCATCTTGGTGTGAGATCTGCGGAGGTGGTGATCATAGTGCAGAGGTATGTGGTGCAAACCCGGACTTTGTGAATTTTGTAGGTAATGCCCAACGAGGAGGAGGCCAGCAAAATTATGGGAACTCATATAACCTAAGTTGGCGCAACCACCCAAACTTTTCTTGGGGTGGAGATCAAAATCAGGGTCAAGGCCAGAATGAATATAGACCCCAAGGAAATACACAGGGGTACCAATCACAGCCCCAACGGGAGCAACCGAACAAGTAATCTGACAACATGAGCATGGTGGAGATGCTGAAAAAGATCATGGCTGATCAAGCCCAGTTAGCTGCTGATGTAAGGAATAAGCAGTTGGCTACACAAAATCTGGAGAAGCAATTCGGGCAGTTTGCTAGTGCCCAAAACTTACGACCCCAAGGAGGTTTGCCGAGAAATACTGATCCCAATCCTAAGCAGGTAAATACGGTAGGTACACGCAGTGGTTTACAATAAGATGAGTTAGCTCCTAAGAAAAGAAACACTGATGTTGTGAGTAAAGAGAGTGAACCTAAGGAGGGAGAAATTGTTGCACAAGAAGAAAAAGTGCCACCAATTGTGAAACCACCTCCTCCATTTCCTCTGAAGTTCAAGAAACAGAAGGAGGATGAATGTTTTGGTAAGTTTCTCTCTCTTTTGAAACAAGTTCACATTAACTTGCCATTGGTAGATGTTTTGCAGGGTCTACCCAGGTATGGGAAATATATGAAGGAGATTGTGGCAAATAAATGGAGGCTGACAGAGTATGAGACTGTTGCACTTACTGAAGAGTGCAGCTCCAGAATCCAAAATAAGTTGCCCACTAAACTGAAAGATCCGGGTAGCTTTACAGTTCAGATCACTATAGGGCAGAGCATTCATGAGCGAGGCTTGTGTGATCTAGGAGCTAGTATAAATTTGATGCCGACATCTTTGTACATAAAGCTGGGGTTGGGTAGTCCTAAACTTACTACCATTATCTTACAGTTGGCTGATAGATTTGTAGCTATGCCTGAGGGTGCTGTAGAGGATGTGTTAGTGCAAGTGGGATCATTGATTTTCCCAGTAGATTTTGTTGTGCTGAATTTTGAGCCTGATCCTGAGGTCCCATTCATTTTAGAAAGACCTTTCTTAGCGACTGGGCGGGCTATGATAGATGTATCAGCTGGGCAACTTACTATGCGAGCACATGATAAAGTGGAGGTGTTTGACGTGCATAAAACATTAAAGCTGCCAGTTGTGTATGAGGAGTTGTCTGCCATAACTATTATAGATCTTGAGGCAGAAGCTTGCTACATTGCATCTAAGGACCCTCTAGAGCGAGTGTTAGTGGGGGATGATATTTATGGGGATGCTGAGGTACATGAAATTGTGCAATATCTTGATGTGGCACTTGTAGGTACATCTGGATATCGATGGGAGCCTCTAAATAGGGTGTTGGGTCCTCCACCCAAGCCCTCCATTGAAGAAACACCCAAGTTGGAGTTAAAAGCATTGCCAGCCCACCTTAGGTATACATTTTTGGGTGAAGATAAAACTTTACCGGTTATTTTGTCTGCAGCATTATCTGATGAACAGATGGAAGCATGATTAATCATCCTGAAAAAGAGGAAAGTAGCTTTGGGGTGGCAAATGTCCGACATCCATGGTATTAGTCCTGCGCTGTGCATGCATAAAATATACATGGAGGAAGGGCATAATCCGAGTGCACAACATTAGCGGAGACTAAACCCATTGATGAAAGATGTGGTGAGAAAAGAGGTAATCAAGTGGCTGGATGCAGGGATTGTGTACCCAATATCAGACAGCAAATGGGTAAGTCCAGTACAGTGTGTGCCCAAGAAGGGTGGAATAATGGTGGTAACAAATGAGAAGAATGAGTTAATCCCCACAAGAACAGTGACTGGGTGGTGGATTTGCATGGACTACAGAAAGTTGAATGACGCCACTAGAAAGGACCATTATCCGATACCTTTCATTGATCAAATGTTGGATCGGCTGGAAGGTCAGGAATAGTACTGTTTCCTTGATGGTTATTCAGGGTATAATCAGATCGTCATTGCACTAGAAGATCAGGAGAAGACTACATTCACTTGCCCGTATGGCACGTATGCGTTCAAGCGCATGCCATTCGGCTTGTGCAATACCCCCAGCCACATTTCAGAGATGTATGATGGCAATCTTCCATGATATGGTGGAGGACTTTTTTGAAGTGTTCATGTACGACTTCTAGGTGTTTGGTGAGTCTTTTGAACTTTTCTTGAGTAATCTTGATAGAGTTCTTGTCAGGTGTGAAGAAACAAATCTGGTGCTAAACTAAGAGAATGTCACTTCCTAGTTCAAGAAGGCATTGTGTTGGGGCTCAAAATCTCCAAAAGTGGGCTGGAGGTTGACAAGGCTAAAATAGAAGTTATTGAGAAGCTGCCACCTCCCATCACAGTAAAGGGAGTTAGAAGCTTCCTGGGACATGATGGGTTCTACATGAGGTTCATCAAGGACTTCTCTAAGACTGCAACACCTATGTGCAGCCTGTTAGAGAAAGAGATGAAGTTTGTGTTTGATGAAAAGTGTTTGCAGACATTTGAGCTGCTGAAAAAGAAGTTGATTGAAGCTCCTATTCTGATTGCTCCAAATTAGGATCTTCCATTTGAGCTTATGTGTGATGCAGTGACATAGCGGTTGGGGCAGTACTTGGGCAGAGAAAAGAGAAGATGCTCCATTCCATCTATTATGCGAGCAAGACACTTGATGCAGCTCAATCGAATTACACTGTGACTGAAAAAGAGATGCTGGCATTAGTGTTCACATTTGATAAGTTTAGATCATACTTGGTGGGAACCAAAGTTATAGTCTACACTGATCTTGCTGCAATCCGATATTTGTTTAACAAGAAGGATGCCAAGCCGAGGCTGATTAGGTGGATTCTGCTACTACAAGAGTTTGATCTTGAGATAAGGGACATGAAGGGAACTGAGAACCAGATAGCTGATCAACTGCCTAGACTGGAGGATTCAAATCATGTGAAGAATGAGGGGCAAATTCATGAAGAGTTTCCTGACGAGCAATTGCTTGCTTTGTACATTGCTCAAGTGCCTTGGTATGCTGATATTGTGAATTTTATGGTGAGTGATTTATTTCCACCTGGGGCCTTAACACATCAAAAATAGAGGTTGAAGTATGATGCACGCTTCTATGTATGGGATGAGCCCTTCTTATTCAAGCATGGACCTGATCAGATGATGAGAAGGTGTATAGCTGAGCAGGAGGCGACACAAGTGTTGGAGAGTTGTCACTCTTCACCATATGGTGGACACCACAGAGGCGAACGAACTGCGCATAAGGTATTGCAATCTTGTTTCTTTTGGCCTACTCCGTTTAAAGACCCTATTTTGTTTGTGAAAGGTTGTGATCACTGTTAGAGGATGGGCACCATTTCGAGGAGGCATGAGATGCCATTGAGCAATATACTGGAGGTTGAGATCTTTGATGTCTGGGGGATAAAATTTATGGGACCATTCCCATCGTCCCGTGGTAATCAATACATCCTAGTCATAGTGGACTACGTGTCTAAGTGGGTGGAGGCAGTTGCACTACTATCCAATGATGCAAAAGTGGTTGTGAAGTTCATCCGAGAACACATCTTCACCAGGTTCGGAACTCCATGGGCTATGATCAGTGATGGAGGTACGCACTTTATTAATAAGTCAGTGCATAATTTGTTTGCCAAATATGGAGTGAGACACAAAGTGGCTACAACATATCATCCCCAAACTAGTGAGCAGGTGGAAGTGTCGAATAGGGAGGTCAAATAGATCCTCCAAAAGACTGTGAATGCCCAAAGAAAAGATTGGGCTGACAAGCTAGATGATGGCTTGTGGGCGTACCAGATTGCATACAAGACACCGATAGGGACTTCTCCTTATCGAATCGTGTTTGGGAAAGCTTGTCACCTACCAGCTGAATTGGAGCATAAAGCATATTGGGCAATCAATAAGCTAAATCTGGATGTTGAGTTAGCCGGTAGGAAGAGAATAACACAGCTGCACGAGTTGGAAGAATTTAGGCTCCACACCTATGAAAATGCTAAGCTGTATAAAGAGAAGACTAAGAGGTGGCATGACAAGCATATTGTGTCGCGCACCTTTGATCCTGGTCAACTAGTGCTGCTATTCAATTCAAGGTTGAAGTTGTTCCCCGGAAAGCTTCGATCTAAGTGGAGTGGTCCTTTTGAAGTGGTGAGGATGACCCAACATGGTGCAGTGGAGTTAAGAAACAAGGATAAGAGCTGTACTTTCCTTGTGAATGGTCAAAGGGTCAAACACTATTTCAGGAATGATGTGGATCGTGAGCTTGAAACACTCCCATTGAATGATGAATGAGTCATGAGATTGGTCGTGCCACGACGTTAAATCAGGCCCTACACGGGAGGCAACCCATGACCCCTTGTAATAGATAGGCTTTATTTGATTTTGTTTTGTTATTTTAGTTCTTAGGAATTAGAAAAAAAATACAAATTGGTATATTTAGATAAATACAAAAATATGAGTCGTGCCACGACCAAAACTAAGGCGCTAGATGGGAGGCAACCCATTATGTTTTTACTAATGGGTGATGACCTGATAATATGCAGGATGAAGAAATTTCACCTGAGGCAAATCTGTGTAAGGAGCGCGTTGCGGAGGTGGGGTAAAATTTTGCCTCACCTGATACTATTTGAGGCAGAGGACTCCGTGTACTGGGCGCATCGCGGAGGGGGCCTAGAATTTTAATTTCGATGATAAGTTACTTTTACATCAAAAAGAAGGCAAGACCGTGCTAGCCCCGCGACGCGGAGCAAGGGCCAAATATTGGCCTTGCTTGAAATTAAATTTCCAGTGGACTCCGTCCCCACCCCGCGTCGCGCCCTAGGTGAGTAATTTTCATTTTTCATTAAATAACCGGGTTTTACCCATTTTCTTTGGAAATTACCCAACCCCAACCCTTTTAACCCCGATATCTCCCCCTAATTCGCCCATCCTTTCCCCTTTTCACTATATTCACCACGATTTTCTCCCTTCCCTTCACTCCTACGATTTCTTCAAGTAGTTCCGTGTCGCGCAACTACACCCTCTTTGCTCTTCTCTATTTTTTTGCAACTCCGCGTCACCATGTATGTTCTCTTGTTTTTTTCTTGCGATTCTGGGAAAGGTTGTAGATGTCTTGCCATGGGTTATTGGTTGCTCGACTTTTGGGGATTTGGGAAGTGTGTTTTCTGTTGTCAATATCATGTGTTTCGTGTTGGTGTATGTGTGTTTCGAAGTCTGTGTAGAAATACATTGTTGCATGATTCTTGGGTTGAATTGATAGGGTATAGTATGTGGGAATGTTTGTCAATTTGTTTCTGGGTATGCTCGATTCCTTGAGGGTAATGTGCCTTGGTTAATCATATGTTGATGCGTTGGGCGATATTGTGGTTATAGGTGATTTCAAATTCTTGAGTAAAAATCACTTAATGTTCATTGTTGTTGTTCTAGCATGGGGTAAAGATATGTGGGTTATGTATGCTTGTGACAGATTGTTGTCTGAATGGGTAATGATTGATGTAGAGTTTGAAGTGAATTGAGTTAGTTTGCTTGAATTTAGAGGTAGTATGGGGGTTTGACTGCCTCTACTAGTGAAGGTCTAATATGTACTTAAAGATGCTCTCCTTGAAAATTGGATACCTATAGTGTCAAATTCTTGAGTAGATACTATTTTGGCAAACAGTGCATGAAGGAATACTGTTGCTAGGCGATGTTGGCTGGGTGATAGTGTGTATTCAGGGGTTTATCTTGTTTGTGTGAAGTCTTGAGTAACACTCCTTAATCATTGCGTGGTTGTAACTGATGTTGCGATGCCTATCCGGTTTGATGAACTTGGTAATTACTTGAGCATGTTGTTGGTCATTTTTGGAAAGTCTGAGTACCTAAGATGAGACTGCATTGAACTAAGTGTGGGGTGGTGTGCGCACACCACCCATATTTTTCTCATTATTTGTAGTCATTGGGCCTGACCTTTGTCTATATGTTTACAGGTCATCATGTCAAGTTTAAGAAGATCCGGCAAAGAAGTAGCCACGTCAAGCCAGAAGAAACGTTCCCAAAGTGGGAATGTTCCACTAGCACCTGCGGTCCCAAGAGGCCAAACTAGGCGATTTGGAGCTAAGGCTGTGACCAAAGAAGGGAGGGCTTGGTATAAGAAACACACCGAGGCTTCCTATTTCTCGGATGTGTGTATCAATAGGGGCAGTCTGGCACGTGAGTTCCCACAGATCCTGAGGCGGATTAGGGAGCTAGGTATGGAGTTCATCTTTGCTGAACCGGAGGAGTGCAACTTGCACATGGTCCGGGAGTTTTACGCCAACTGAGCGCCTGAAGCCAGATCCCATTATGTGATGGTGAGAGGAAGAAATGTGCCCATCACGCCCACAAGTATAAATGATATATTAGATACTCCGCAGGACACAGACCCACTAGTGCTGACATGGCTGATCATACTCCCCCATACCAGGCCATCTGACACACTCTGTGCGGGCCATAGTCCATGGCTCAATGACAAAGCATAGTGGGAAG